GAACAATCAAAAATTATAGATATGTTGGAGACGTATCATGGGAGCGACTCAAGGATCCTGTCAATGACCGAGTCATTTGGAAGATTAACTCCCAGCTGAGACAAACGGTTGTGCAACCCGGACATAGTGAGTATATGCTCACTGACATAACTGTTTTCCTCCATCTTACAACTATAGAACTTGTCGGAGACTTCATATCTCTCGACCCGGGCATGAGCTTGGAAAACCATTTTCAGCTCTTGGAACATCTCATATGCTCCGTGTTGCTCAAAACTCTTTTGGAGCCCCGGTTCTAAGCTGTAAAGCATGCCGCACTGAACCAGGGAGTAATCATCACTACACGACTGCCAGGCTTTCATAACGTCTTGAGTTGCTGGGAAAATGGGTGCTTCACCTAGCGGTGCTTCAAGGACATATGCTTTCTTGGCAGCTATGAGGATGATCCTCAAGTTTCGTACCTAGTCCGTATAGTTGCTACCATCATCTTTCATCTTGATTTTCTCTAGGAACGCGTTGAAGTTGAGGGTAACATTAGCGTGGGCCATTTGATCTACAAAGACGTATTGTAAAGATATTTTAGACTATGTTCATGATAATTAAGTTCATCTAATCAAATTATTTAATGAACTCCCACTCAGACAGACATCCCTCTAGTCATCTAAGTGATACATGATCCGAGTCAACTAGGTCGTGTCCGATCATCGCGTGAGACGGACTAGTCATCATCGGTGAATATCTTCATGTTGATCGTGTCTACCATACGACTCATGTTTGACCTTTTGGTCTCTTGTGTTCCGAGGCCATGTCTGTACATGCTAGGCTCGTCAAGTCAACCTAAGTGTTTTGCATGTGTAAATCTGTCTTACACCCGTTGTATGTGAACGTTAGGATCTATCACACCCGATCATCACGTGGTGCTTCGAAACAGCGAACTTTCGCAACGGTGCATAGTTAGGGGGGACACTTTCTTGAATTTTTTATGAGGGATCATCTATGCTACCGTCGTTCTAAGCAAATAAGATGTAAACATGACAAACATCACATGCAAATCATAAAGTGACATGATACGGCCAATATCATCTTGCGCCTTTGATCTCCATCTTTGAGGTACGGCATGATCACCTTCGTCACCGGCATGACACCATGATCTCCATCATCGTGTCTTCATGAAGTTGTCTCACCAACTATTACTTCTACTACTATGGCTAACGGTTGGCAATAAAGTAAAGTAATTACATGGCGTTTTCAATGACACGTAGGTCATACAATAAATTAAGACAACTCCTATGGCTCCTGCCGGTTGTCATACTCATCGGCATGCAAGTCGTGATTCCTATTACAAGAACATGATCAATCTCATAAATCACATATATCATTCATCACATTCTTTTGGCCATATCACATCACATAGCATACCCTGCAAAAACAAGTAAGACGTCCTCTAATTGTTGTTGCATGTTTTTACGTGGCTGCTATGGGTTTCTAGCAAGAACGTTTCTTACCTACGCAAAAGCCACAACAGTGATATGCCAATTGCTATTTACCCTTCATAAGGATCCTTTTCATCGAATCTGATCCGACTAAAGTGGGAGAGACAGACACCGCTAGCCACCTTATGCAAGAAGTGCATGTCAGTCGGTGGAACCTGTCTCATGCAAGCGTACATGTAAGGTCGGTCCGGGCCGCTTCATCCCACAATACCGCCAAACCAAAATAGGACTAGTAACGGTAAGCAAATTGAACAAACCAGCGCCCACAATACTTGTGTTCTACTCGTGCATAGAATCTACGCATAGACCTAGCTCATGATGCCACTGTTGGGGAACGTAGCAATAATTCAAAATTTTCCTACGTATCACCAAGATCAATCTAGGAGATTCTAGCAACAAGAGAGAGAGAGAGAGAGAGAGAGAGAGAGGATGTGCATCTTCATACCTTTGAAGATCGCTAAGCGGAAGCGTTACTAGAACGCGGATGATGGAGTCGTACTTGTGGCGACCCAAATCGCGGAAGATCCGATCTAACGCCGAACGGACGGCGCCTCCGCATTCAACACACGTACAGCCAGGAACGTCTCCTCCTTCTTGATCCAGCAAGGGGAGTGGAGAAGTTGAGGGAGAGCTCCGGCAGCATGACGGTGTGCTGGTGGAGCTTGCAGTTCTCCGGCAGGGCTTCGCCAAGCACTACGGAGGAGGAGGAGGTGTTGGAGAGGGGAAGGGTTGCGCCAGGGCAAGGGTGCGGCAGCCCTCCCACCTCCCCACTATTTATAGGGGCAAGGGATAGGGCGGCGGCCCCCTCCAGATGATCTAGAGGGGGGGCGACGGCCAAGGGGGAAGACTTGCCCCCCAAGCCAAAGGGGGGCACCCCCTTTAGGGTTTCCCTCACCCCTAGGCGCATGGGCCCTAGGGGGGAGTTGGTTCCCAGCCCACCTAGGGGCTGGTTCCCCTCCATATTCAGCCCATAGGGCCCTCCGGGGCAGGTGGACCCTCCCAGTGGACCCCCGGAACCCCTTCTGTGGTCCCGGTACAATACCTGTAAACCCCCGAACACTTCGGTCGACCGAATAAGGACTTCCCATATATAAATCTTCATCTCCGGACCATTCTGGAACTCCTCGTGACGTCCGGGATCTCATCCGGGACTCCGAACAACATTCGGTAAGCAGATACTATTTCCCATAACAATTCTAGCATCACCGAACCTTAAGTGTGTAGACCCTACGGGTTCGGGAATCATGCAGACATGACCGAGACATCTCTCTGACCAATAACCAACAGCGGGATCTGGATACCCATATTGACTCCCACATGTTCCAGGATGATCTCATCGGATGAACCACGATGTCGGGGATTCAATCAATCACGTATACAATTCCCTTTGTCCACTGGTATGTTACTTGCCCGAGATTCAATCGTCGGTATCCCAATACCTTGTTCAATCTCGTTACCGGCAAGTCTCTTTACTTGTTCCGTAACGCATGATCCCATGACTAACTCCCTAGTCACATTGAGCTCATTACGATGATGCATTATCGAGTGGGCCCAGAGATACCTCTCCATCATACAGAGTGACAAATCCCAGTCTCGATTGGTGCCAACTCAACAGACACTTTCGGAGATACCTGTAGTGCACCTTTATAGCCACCCAGTTACGTTGTGAAGTCTGGTACACCCAAAGTATTCCTACGGTATCCGGGAGTTGCACAATCTCATGGTCTAAGGAAATGATACTTGACACTAGAAAAACTCTTAGCAAATGAACTACACGATCTTATGCTATGCTTGGGATTTGGTCTTGTCCATCACATCATTCTCCTAATGATGTGATCCCGTTATCAACGACATCCAATGTCCATGGTCGGGAAACCATAACCATCTATTGATCAATGAGCTAGTCAACTAGAGGCTCACTAGGGACATGTTGTGGTCTATGTATTCACACATGTATTACGGTTTTCAGTTAATACAATTATAGCATGAACAATAGACAATTATCATGAACAAGGAAATATAATAATAATCATTTTATTATTGCCTCTAGGGCATATTTCCAACAAATACATGCATTAGCATCTATAGCCAGGCGCACCAAATCGCCCTCAAATGCCTCAGCGGGCTGACCGGTCACAAAAAATCGACCCAACTCGACGCCTCAAACGCCCGGGCTGACCGCCACCCCTCATATCCAGCCCAAAAATGAGACGGATATGGGGCGCTCGAGCGTGCCCGGGCGTGTCTACCACGCAGGACTGACGATGGGCTCCCATGCGGAATTGCCCAGAAACCCGGCGGTCCGAGGGACGCTTCTTTTGTCGCCGCAGTGTGAACCCGCGTGGCGCCGCTCCGGCTCGCCGTCCGAGGCTAAATTTGGCTATTTAAGCCGGACGACGTCCCCCAACCCTAGCCCATCCACCTCCTCCCTCTCTACGCCGCCACCCGAGCCCGTCCTCCTCCTCTTCCCCGCTCTCACACGATATCCGGCATCGCCAAGGTCTAACAGAAGATCACCACGTACGCTATGTTGACACCGGAGCGCTGGAGGCAGATCGCGGAGGATATCTAGGCTAGGCGCGCCACTCGCATCGCTGCCGAGCTACCTCCGGACTCGCCGAAGCTGGAGGAGGAGGAAGAGAGGAGCTGGTGGAGCCGATGGAGGTGGCGGATCCGGAGGAGAACGAGGCAGAGCAACCTGCTCGGGGGTTCATCATGGAGGAGGCGAAGGCGGAGTTCGCTGTCTCCCAAGTCGCGAAGTTGTGAGAGCAGCAGGCCATCCTGGAGTCCATCTAGGATGTGGCCTATGTGGAGGCCAACCGGGAGTTTCTCCGGTAGGAGCGGGTGGTGACTGGCGCGCTCTTCACCAAACTCAACGAGGAGATAGAGGAGGAGGCCGGAGCAGAGCAGCCAGAGGAGCTGGAGCTGCAGCGGCCGCCCATGTACCCAGAGCCGGACACGGAGATAGTCGACATCTCCAACAAGGAGTAGTTAGGTGATCTGCGCAGTACGAAGGTTGTTTCGTTTGCATGCTTTTGTAGGGATTTAAGAATTTAGTATGAGGTGTCCGGATGTAGTTGCGGTAATCTGAGGATTGCCCGGTCACTGCGGGCGCGTTCGCGGGCGTTTGATGGGCTGGATTTGCCCATCGCGGCTGTATATGCTCTTATATCTCCCGTTTCTAAATATAAGTCTTTCTAGAGATTTTCAATATAAATGACATAAGGATGTATATAGATATAGTTTAGAGTGTAAATTTACAATTTTGCTATGTATGTAATTCATATTGTATTAAAATCTATGAAAAGATTTATATTTAGAAAGGAACGGAGGGAGTACCGACGTATATGTACGTACACTGTACATGCCCGGCGGCCCGCCTGATCTTTCTATAAATAGCTGCGCGCTGTCCAAAGCTGGTCACATGCAAATTCAGGTCTCAACCTTGTCCCTGCTTACTAGACACACAGTACCTAGCTCGCTCTCTCTCTCCCTCCCTCTCATCGAGCAATGGAGGATGACAAGAAGACCAAGTACCGCGGCGTGCGTACGCGGCCTTGGGGCAAGTTCGCCGCCGAGATCCGTGACCCCGAGCGTGGCGGCGCCCGCGTCTGGCTCGGCACGTTTGACACGGCCGAGGAGGCCGCGAGGGCGTACGACCGCGCGGCTTTTGCCCAGAGGGGCGCCACTGCCGTGCTAAACTTCCCCGGCGAGGCCGGGGGCGCCTTCGGCTCGTCTTCGTCCGCCCCGGCTGGCTCCGGTGCCGGCACGGGCAGGGGTCGCGGGGGCACAGAGAAGATCGAACTGGAGTACCTCGACGACAGCCTCCTGGACGAGCTTCTCGACGACAGCAAGTACGGTGGTAAATGAGAGAGAGATTCTCTTGCATGCACGTATATATGCATGCATACAGAAGAAATGACCTACACAAATACATACTTTTTCCGTAAGAAAATATTTGTCATCAAAATGAATAAGAAGAGATGTATCTAAAACTACACACACATACTGACACACATATCATACCACATCCATATGGGTTATATTACGTGATGCATCATGCATTACAATACCGTTCACATATTTGCATTTAGTGGCAATTTCCACCACTGGACCAATGTCATGTATGCTACAAATAACAAAATAATCGCTTTTGTTTCATGCCCTAAACAGAAGACACGCCGAACGTGCACAGTACGCGTACGTATTTCTGTGATGAATGAACTAGATATATCATGGCAAAACAAGGCAATATGTACGTGTTACTGTTGTATCTATATATACGTGGAGAAAAATAAATGTTGGGTGGCGGCATCTGCGGATCATTGTATCTAGCTCTAATGGAATCTGCGGATCATATCGTTGAGCCGCCATTGTAATGTTATCAATGTGGCAATTGCAAACCTGACATTTCTGGTAATATTATATGGCAATTCTCGTACCATCCAGCATGCGTGAAACGTGATATTCTCTTTGCTTTCATGGAACATTGACATATATGTTCGGTCGTTGCACGCTAAAGCTGGCCAATAGAGCCACCGCTTTAGTGCTATGTTTCTGTGCATATTATGGTGGTGCATGGTTGCATGCATGAATGTGCTAAACCTTTATGGTTCTCTTCGCGTGTGTAATCTATGGGCTGCGGCTGCTTACCATCTCTTTGGTTGACATGCATGAATGTGGACCTTGGAAGACCATTGGCTGAGCGGCTGCTCTAGTAAACAAAAGCACGAGAGCTGAGCGGCTGCTCACGTGATTAATTATTAAGGAATCTCTGGTAGGTTCATATAAGAGCTTTGGTACAAGTACTCCCTGATTTAAACCACAGACCTCCACCTCGCCTAGTTAATTCCCTCTCTCGTCACTGCCAAAAAAAATCCCTCTCTTGAAACAGACTTTCACCCCGCTTTATATATAAAGCAACGAATCAAAGTACACGGCTGAACAATACAATATAGTGGGAGGATCCCCTTACAAAGCAGATCAAAAGACCCCTGAGCTCAATGACAACAGCCCCAAGAGGGTGACGGCGCGAAGCGTCGCCGCTGCCGAGTCCAAGAACAGGCAAAGGTTTTCACCATGAGCCCTGACACAGGGACGAGATCCACGACGTTGTCTTCAAGAAGCAAGCGGCACCCACGGGCATCGCCTGCGCCAGAAGCGCAGAGCTTTCGCTCGGACACTCGCCTGCACCACCAAGAGGACTCCCGGCCACCACTTCAACGAGGGCCGACTTGTCCACCCCAGATCTAGGCACTGCTAAAGCATGCCTGAGCCTCCCGCCACTACATCCCTAGTCGCCCACACGACCAAAAGATGGAGCCACCGCCACCACCACGAAGCCTGCTGGTAAGCCAAACGTGGAGCCTGCCGTCCGGGACCATGGTCCCGGCATCCATGCCCCTGGGCACTAGCCCGGCATCAGCCACCATGTTTGGGTCGGCACCTCCATAGTAGGAAGCGCCATCGCCTGTCTCCAGCCGGTCCCGGTGGACCGGGGAGGGGGGGGGGGACAACCCAGTGACAACTGATGGCCACCGCTGAGCACGCTCGAACACTGCCATGTCCATGGTCATTGGCGCCGATACATACGACGACACAGCAACGCCGGAGAGCAACCCTTGGACCGACGCCACAATGACACCAAGCAAGAAGGGGACAACACGAAAGCATCCAACGCGGACGAAGTCAACCCCGGTAATTAAGCACCGCCGGGCGTCGTCCACGACCATGATCCAGATCTGCGTCGTTCATCGAACGCTAGCAACCCGGATCACACCGCTGCCCAACCAAAGCAGCCATGCCACCCCATCACCTCCCACTAGCACATCCCGGACCGCATCTGACCTCTCCTACCCGGAGCGGCTGCTCCGACCTGCCACGGGCCCAAATCCAGCCCGCCCGAGCTCAAACCCTAGGTCATAGCCACCCCAGACGCATGAGCGTCGCCAGCATGAACCAATGAGAAGGGAAGCCACCTCCACCCCCCTGCACCCGCCGTCAAGCTCAATGGCTATGCCGCGACCACGCCGACAACCAACGTGATGCGGAGCATCCCACGTTCATCCCCATGTACACTCCGACTACTCTCCAAGCCTCAAGAGGACATATGACGAGACCTCGAACATATTCCATTGGACACAAGGTGAACTCGCTCCTCTCTGAATCGTCACTTTCTACATGTGAGACATGGCTACTACCTCAAGCATATGTGCTATGCATGACCAGGAACCAAGAGGAGGGCATTGGAACAACTACGAGCATTGGACAAGACGGCGAGGACACCAAGTGCGAGGAACAAGAGGAAGAGCTGCCAGGAAGCTACAGCTCTAGGACGTCCGACGACCTCCAGACGACCGATGATCTCCAGACGTCCGACGCCTGGAGACTCCACCAGCCAGATCAACTCCAGCCGAGGCAACCTATAGCGCCCAGACGACAGCCCGACACCGGATGTCCGATACTAATCAGCGCCCGGACGACCGACCTCGACCGGACATCCGACACTATCGGACCAGAGCCAAAACATCGGAAGTCCAAAGACTTCCGGACGACCGGACGCCTGCGAGCGACTGGACGACCGAGAGCCGTCGGACGTCTGACGCCTGTCTGTGCACAGAAATTGGGCCCGAGCCCATGTATCCCTCTCCCACTAACCCCTTCGTGGACCTAGACTATAAATACCCCCCTACCTCCTCCTAGCTAGGGTTAGCATTGTGATAGCTCATATTTGAGATAGAGCTTTGCTCATCCACTTGGTTACTTCTCTTTAGAGCTCATGACCTTTTCGGAGAAGATCCCCCAAGCAGATTCAAGACCCCATCACAGGAAGACCATTCAAGACCTCCCCACGGAGAAGACCTTTTGTATCGTCCTTTGTTGGCCTTGAATCGTGTATCACTCTTTGTGTTTCGAGGATCTAGCATATGTGTGACCGGATCTTATTGGTTGAGTGATTTCTCTTGTGTTTTCCCTCGTGTTCCCCCTCATTTTTTCCCTCGTGTTCTCCACGTTCTTCGTAGGATCCCCTCCAATCGTGAAAGATCAGGCATCTAGGGTTCTACCCTACATCATCTTGGATCAGAGCAAGGTTGATCACAAATTTGGAGCCCCTACCCCCTTGTTTTCTAGCCTAATTTTGTTGTGTTCTTCCCCAATTTCGAAAATTCCCACCAAAAATTGCCCCAATTTTTTTTGTGATTTGTTGGTGTGATGATGTTTTGTTGATTTTGATCCATGGATTTGCTTTGTTTCGAGTGGATCTAGCATCTCCCCAAGTTTCCCTACTTTCCATCCACGAAATCTCATCAATTTTGTCCCCAAAATCCCCAATTTCCGCCCAAAACCGCGTCCCAAAACTCGCATCTTGCGTTGACCCCGACCCACAGGACGATCGACGTTTTTCCGGACATCTAGAGCCCCTGGAACCATCGGACGACCGACACTTACCGGACGTCCGACACCCCTGATCCAATACCAAAACATAGGATTTCCAGGCATTTCCGAACATCCGTCCCGCGCTCCAGCCACCGGTTGTCCGACCCTTATCGGATGTCTGACCCCTGTAAAAACTGACTTCGGCTGATTTTTGTTTAGGCCATAACTAATTCATCCGAACTCCGATTTTTACGTTCTTTAGCTCGTTGACCGAAAAAGGCTTTCGCCCCGCTTTATAGTTGTGGCACCCCGGCTCAGAGCGACCGGTTTACCTTGCATTGCTAGCCCAGAGACCTTGTCTTCTGGCAACACACAATAACATGGTACAGAAAACAACCGCTTTATTCATGCTAGCAGAACATAGTTCATATTACAACGGTTACCGAGGCCAGGCGGCACACACGATGCGGATGAACGATGTGTACATTATTTAGTGAACATAAAGGGGCCTCGATCATGACAACTACTCGGCAGCGGAACAACGTCGTAGCGGGACTCCATAGCACAAGGACACCGACGTGGACACGGTCTAGACTTGGACAGCACTCCTTTCCAACGGGACTTTCCTGAAATCTGGCATGACACGCCAGGTCAATACATTGAATGTACTTGCAAGCTCACAATAAGCATAAACATGATGACAAACAATATTATGTTATTTATCCAATTAAACAACAATGCAACCATAAGTTCAACATGCTATGACTATGCTCAACAGGTACTCATTTTCCCGACTTGCTTACCAGATGTGACCAATAAACATGATATTACCAAAAATATACTCGTGATCCTTACGGTGATCACAACCCGACCAGCTCATGGCCCGTGACCCTTATGGCGATCACAACCTGACCAACTCGTGGCACGTGATCCTTACGGCGATCACAACCCGACCAACTCATGTCCAACTCAACACGATGACCTCACTGCCATCCTTAGTGCAATTGAGTGTGCATATTTATTATGTGTTGACCCATGGTGTACCTTACTTTCGAGCGTGTCCGTAACCATGGACTCGGCTATCGACAGATTAAAAGCACTCTGCAGAGGTTAGTACTCTGTACCCACACTACAGAACCCATGGCCTCGCACTCCCATTCAGGTGGACCAACAGCGTTCCGACGAAACAATTTCATTGTCATGACACTCTCCCGGCCCTTCCGACTCAGACCCCACCGGGCTAGTCCTGGGTGACCCCATGTCTACCTCCAGACACCTCGACCACCGTCGTGGCCACGATCCACTCTAGGATCCGGTACCAAAATTAACTTAACAATGGGCTCACAAGGTTATGCTTGCCTACCGGGACAGGGTACAGCACGCCCATAACCTTCCCTAAATTGAGGCATCGACCAGAGGCACGACAATGAAACGCATTAAGGCCGTCCCATACTGGCAAATGTGGTTGCACTAGGAAAGACTCGTTTCAGCGGCACCACGACCCGGTCAACAACATGTTCAAGTTGAATTATTAATCAGGTTCAACTTAATGTGAAAAGAAAATTACCGGTGTCATACTGCCATACTATGCATCACTTAACATATGCATCACATAA